ATCGTGTACCACTGCAGTGGTTAGTGCAAAGATAGTTCTAAAGGCAAATCCATAAAATTTCAACAAGTAGCTGAATGCTAAGAAGAGAGAATGAGAATTTCAAAACAGAAAATTAAAAATTCAAGTCAAGTTATCTTTCTGGTCTATTCTTACACATCACACCCACATATTTAACAAGTTTATAACATTTTTGTGCTTGTTATTAGCTCCTCACATCATTTTCTTAGTGCTTTTGGCACGAGGTAGGAAGAATTTCTTGTGCTTCCATCTGCCCTCTCCCACTGACTTCTGTGGAAAACAGGTTTCCAGAAGCATTATTGAAAATGCATGCCAGGCTATAGTTACCACATAAAAAGTCTGCTTTCTTCCTTAGGAACATAACTACATTTAAAAACATGGTCTTTTACCCGTGCTGAACATGGATTTATAAGGGAATTTTTTTATTCACCTTCCCATAAAACATTAAGTTCTCACTAAATTAAACTAGTTGATGCATCTCTCAATTTTCATCTGGAAGTTCCAAAGAGATCATGGATCTAGAGGAACATCACAGTTTCTATTGTCCCCCAAACCCAGAGACTTGCATGGAAGACTCGCCTCTTCTCGAAGGAAGGAGCACGATGGTTATGCAACCAGCTTACGTGACACGGAACAATTCTCAGTTACCTAGCGCTGCTACGGAGCCCTGGTGGCGAAGTGGTTGAAAGCTCGGCTGATAACCAAAAGGTCAACAGTTTGAATCCACCAGTCATTCCTTGGAAACCCTATGGGGCACTTCTACTCTGTCCTATAAGGTTGCTGTGAGTCGAAATTGACTTGACGGCAACAGATAGTGCTGTATAACTGAAACACCACAAATAGGTGGCTTTAAGAACCAGACATTTTCTCACAGTTGAGGAGGCTAGAAGTCCGAATTCAGGGCCCAGCTCGAGCGTAACGCTCGTTCTCTGTCAGCTCTGGGGAAAGGTCCTTGTCTCTTCTCAGCTTCTATTCCTTGGCTCCTTGGTGATCCTCATGTGGCTTGAGTCTGTAGGCATATGTCTTTCACCAAATTTGGGACATTTTCAGATATTATTTCTTCAAACACGTTTTCAGCACTGGGTTCTTCCTCCTCTCCTTCTGGGACTCCAATGACACACACATTAGACCTTTCGTTATTGTCCCACAGGTCAACTTTATGGGGTCGCATTCCCAAGCTCCTTCCTCTACACAACCTCCCTAGTACTTCCTGGTTCCCTGGGGCTCACTTTTCGGTCTTCTTACTTGAAAGCTGAGGCTTTAGCTACCTGCTCTGCTGTGTACTTCCACAACCATGCCCGTATCTAGGGCCAAGAGGCAAGAGGATAGAAAGAGGGAAAAAAAGGAAAAGAAGTTGACTCCACCCTTCTTGAAACCACAGTTCTATCTCCTAGAGAAGCAGCAGCTCTACCTACCAGAGAGGAGCTTTAAGCTCCCTCTGCTGCCAGCCATCACCGCCACCACAAGACTGCTTGGGGACCGAGGTGTGAGACAACCAGAAAGAGGGGGAAAAGGGAGATTTCCACATAATCTGAGTAGCAGTTTCCTTTCCCACAATTTGAGTCGGAACTAGAGGGCTTCTGCTGCACCTCCCTGTGTCTTGGTGTCTATCTCCAGCTTTAGGCTGAGCTGAGTTCAGACTAGGAGATACTGGAGGAAAAAAAAGGTAAACTCACTGCCAGTTTCAAATTCTGATGTTCTTCCCCAAAATGCCTGCTACTGTTTCCTTTTGGAAGGTCCCTGAGTGGCACAAATGGTTTGCACCCAACTACTCACCTAAAGGTTGACTCAAACCCACCCAGTGGCACCTTAGAAGAAAAGCCTGTGATCTGCTTCTGTAAAGATGACAGTCAAGAAAACCCTACGGAGCAGTTCTACTCTGTAACACATGGAGTCGCAATGAGTCAGAATCGGCTAATGACAATGGGTTTGGGTTTTTGGTTTATTTATTTTTCAGAGTCTTCAAATAGTTGCTTCATGTATTCTGTCGAGGTTTCATGGCTGTACTCAGTGGAAGACGCAGGATGGAGTGTGCTTGCTCCATTTTACCTGGAACCAGAAACCTCATCAGTTGCCCTAGTCGCTTTTGCCTGCACTAATTTAAAGAACAATTGGCAGGAAGAACTGGATTGTTGGAAAAATTCTTATGACATTGATTGATTAAATTCTAGCTGAAGGATGCTATCTCAGGCTGGGTTCTCTAGAAGAGCAAAACCAGTAAAGTGTATATATAAACATATAGACAGATTTATTTCAAGGAAGTGGCTCACACAATTGTGGAGAGTGGCAAGTCCTCAATCTGGGGTCAGTGACAGCCTGGAGGCTTCTCTTGATTCATGTGGTAGCAGGGGCCGATGAATTGAAAATCTGCAGGTCAGGAGGAAGGCTGCTGGTTCATGGGGTTGCAGGAGCTGGTGAATCTAAAATCTGCAGGTCAGGCAGCAGGCTGCTGGCTCACATCCCAAGAACCAGAGGTCAGAGAATGACGAGGTGAAATGCAGGACTGAATGCAGGATCGAGAGAGAGCAAGCTTTGCCAGAACATCCATAAATATTGGACGCAGGCCACACCTCCAAGGAAACTCCCCTTTCAACTGACTGGCTGCTCACATCAGATCACAAAATGGAGGATGATTACATAATATCTGCCAAACCACTGAGAATCGGAGCCTAACCAAGTTGACACATAACCTTAACCATCACAGATGCGGATCTAGGAAACTCCTCTGACATCGCAAAAAAACATCTGACCATGAGAAAAGTGTCCACACTAGTAACTGTTGGCATAGTTTTGGAAGGAATATTCAAATCCTATAGGTTTGGAGTTTTTTTCACTGGGAGTCTGTTTTGTGGGTCTATTTTTAGCCAGATAAATTCTGCTGGTCTGAGGATATAATTTTACTTCCTTTGGTCGGTTGTCTAAGTTTGTAAGTAAATAAAGTTATTAAAAAAATAAAACCACTGTAATGTAAATTATGACGACAAGAGTACCATAACAAGCTTATAATCCTAATATTGCTTCTGTCAGCTGTTTCTTTTCTAACAGGTTTAAATTAAGAAAATGTAATGTACTAAATTTATAAGTCTAATTTATTGGATTGATAAGAGAAGCATTAAATGCTTAGGAACTATGTTGATGTTGGATTCCTAAGTCTTCCTTGTTAAGAGTTTGAAGTATTTGAGAGATTTCTAATATATTAAGTTTGGAACTACAGTGAAACCTGTGAGAGCCGAACTTGATGGGACTGCCTCGTTTTTCCGGGTCTCCAGAGTTTTCCACTTTTGACAGGGTGCAATCTTACCACCTTCCTGTCGCTTGGTTTAACAGAAAATAAATATTTGAGTTTTCCTTCTCTGACAGGTTTCTGCCTTACACTGGTTATGGCTTTTGCAGGTTTTACTGTATATTTTAAAGATTAACTAACAATATAAATGGTCTTAAATGTTTGGGGAAATTGATCAAATTCATGAGCATGCTGACCATTAATCAAAGAAAAGGAATAGCAATTGTTCTAATTTTTATACAAAAAATATTATTAGAGACTCTAGAATCAGTCTGAGTAGCCCTGGTGGGGCAGCAGTTAAGCACTTAGCAGATAACCGAAAGGTCAGCTGTTTGAACCCACCAGTGTCTCTGTGGGGGAAAGACACGTGGTCTGCTCCCATAAAGATTACAGCCTGAGAAACCCTGTAGGGCAGTTCTACTCTGTCCTGTAGGGTCGCTATGAGTCGGAACTGCCACAACAGCACACCACCACAAGAGTCAGTCCGCCTAACTTCAAACGGTAACGTTGCCATTAGCTGTCTGACCTGTCCCTCGGTCATCTCCCTGGTAAAATGGGGATAACAACACCCACCTCATAAAGTCTGGTGAGGATGAAATGAGTTAATACACAGAATGGTTTAGAATAATGCCTGGCACGTAGTAAGTACTATGTGCATGCTAACCAGTTTTGTTTTTTTAAATTGAGCATAGAGGCTTAAGCAAAACTAACTTTTTCAATTAAAACTTTAATAAGTTGACTACTGATTAAAACACAAGAATTTTTAAACATTTCTCTTAAATACAAAAATCCTGACTTGGTTCATAAAAGCCCACTAATTACACAGTAAAGCCACAAGAGGCCATGAGCTCCTTGGGGTAGGAGCCACCCACCTCACTTTGGGGGACCTCATAAAAGCTGTGTACTCAATCAACTACAGATATTGACTAAGTGGATGAACTAAACTGTGGCTCATCAATATCTGGTGTCAGTTACAACGTGCTCAGACAACACTCCCACCAACATCTACAATACACAGGCATGCCAGAATCAACCAATCATATGGAACAGAGACTGGTCCTGATCCCAACATCAGTGTCATACAGAAGTGATTTTAGTTAAGATGTGCATATTCTGGCAGCAAGCCAGTATTTATATTAATCTTCTTTCATAATAATTTCAACAACAGAATAACTAGAGATAGGTCAACTGAGGCACTTTGAGAAAGAAAACACTTAGAAAAAATAACCTACTTCTAAAACATTTCTGTTGTTGTTGTACACCCTCGTGTATATTCCAACTCACAGCAACCCCACAGAGCTGACCTGCCCTACAGGGTTTCCTTGGCTGTAATCTTTACAGAAGCAGATCGACAGGTCTTTGTCTCACGAGCCCTTGGGTGGATTCGAACGGCCAACCTTTCAGTTAGCAGCTGAGTGCTTAACTGCTGTACCACGAGGGCTCCTCCAAAGTATTTCTAGCAAGAATTAACACAGTAAAGTGTTCTCTTTTAAAGCGATGTTAGATTTTTGAAGGCAGGGGGAAAAAAAAGTTAAAAATACTGTTTGCTTTCAGGTGGTTTTAAAGTACTGTTCAGGTGAGATGTTAAGGCCATATTCTTGCAAATGAGAAGTAACTGATTCCGTCCTACCGCGCATTTAAGCGTGTAAGGCATCGGCCAGGGCTCACGCCCATGAAGGTGAAGACAAGCAAGGCTCACCTCGAAGTTGTACTTCCTCATCTGGTTGACCTGCCGGCAGTACAGGTAGAGCATGCCGATGCTGCTGCCCACCGCGATATAGTCCCCGTTGGTATCGAGGGCCGTGAGGTAGACCACGATAGAGCGGAAACCCTTCTGGATCTTTGTGGGAATGGCATTGAGGAGATAGTACAGAGGGCAGAACTCTCTGAATGTCACGGGCTCTGAGAGTGAAGCCATGGCTGAGGTTTCCACAGACGACCTTCTGGCAGGAAAAGGGACTCTGGCATCGAGGGAAACCTGGGGGCTAAAGAATAAGGCATTATCATTTTCCCAGTGCCTCGTCATGCAAAACAGAAGTAATGTTTAATAGCGGGAACCAAGAACTTTTTAGGTGGGTAAAAATTACAGCTGGGGCTTAATTCAACAGCGAAAATAAACAATCCATTCATGGTGTCATTCAGATCACTTTCGAGTATTTTAGTTCAAAGTGCACTTCAAGACAGACTGACCCCTCTGATTCATGTTGTGAATTCTAAGGAGGGGTGAAAAGAATATAAAAAAATAGCTCTTACTCTCAAGGAGCTTATGTTTTAGCCAGAGAAGCAAATGAAACACTGCACAGATACAAAGCCACATGTAATTAGGAGCTGTGGGCTCGGATGAGAAGAGAGAGAGATCAGTGTGGATTAAAGTCAGCATGGAGAAGTCTTCACTGGAAACATCTGAACCAGAAAGCCTGCCAGGACAGACGGGGTGTGGAAGAAACAGGAAAGACTTTCTGTCCTAAGAGAACTGTGAACCAATCCCGGACATGGAATCTGCTCACTGTGCCAACGAGACAGGGAGGAAACAGATCCCAGTGTCGTGCACAGCCTCTTGGGCGCTCAGAGACTGGCATCTGTGCCACACAGAGACCCATGCCTTTCTGCATTTTGAAATCAGAGCTTCCCTTAATAAAGACACTCATAAGGAGAGTCAGGAATAGGAAGATGATACTGAACGAGTGGCTAACGGTCTCCATGAACAAATGCCTACTTCGCCATGAGACCAGAACTGGATGGTGCCCGGTGACCATTACTGAACATTTTGATCAAAGATTCCATAGAAGAATACTGATCAAAAGAGGGAAAATGCAGAACAGAATTTAAAATTCTCATGGAACCCAGACTTCCTGGAGCCATGGAGGGTAGATGAACCCCTTGAAACTACTGCCCTGAGATAATCTTTAGACCTTAAACCAAAAATATCCCCTGAAGTCTTCTTAAATCCAAACAATAGTTTAGCTTAACTAGTAAAAAAGGCCTGCCTTGAGCATTATGCTCTTTTATGGAACTACATATATGGGATCAAATCGACAGCAGTAACTCGAAATATTAGATAGGGACCTTAGGGGTCAGTGAGTTTATGTTAATGGGGGAGGAACAACTCAGAAAAGGAGGTTAAGAACAGTTGCACAACTCGAAGAATGTAGTCAACATCACTGAACTGTACGTGTAGAAACAGTTGAACTGGTGTATGTTTTGCTGTGTACATTCTCAACAACAATAAAATAAACATATAAAGACACTCAACTCTTGCATAGCACGTTACCATTTACAAAATCCTCAACAGCTCATTTAATCCTTGTTGTTGTTGTGTGCCACTGAGTCAATTCCAACTCATATCAACCCTAAAAGTCAGAGTAGAATTACCCCATAGGGTTTACTAGGCTGTAATCTTTATGGTTACATTAACAACCTGTGATACGCAGATGACACAACCTTGCTGAAAGTGAAGAGGATCTGAAACACTTAAGACTGACCAAGATCAAAGACTACAGCCTTTAGTAAGGATTACAACTCAACATAAAGAAAACAAAAATCCTCACAACTGTACCAATAAGCAACATCAGGATAAAAGGAGAAAATAATTGAAGTTGTTAAGGACTTCATTTTACTTGGATCTACAATCAACACCCATGGAAGCAGCAGTCAGGAAACCAAATGATGCACCGCATTGGACAAATTTGCTGTAACAGACCTCTTTAAAGTGTTAAAAAGCAAAGATGTCACCTTGAGGACTAAGGTATGCCTGACCTAAGCCATGGTATTTTCAATTACCTCATATGCATACAAAAGCTGCACAATGAATAAAGAAGACCAAACGAGAATGGATGTCTTTGAATTATGGTGTTGGCGAAGTATACTGAATATACCACGGACTGCCAGAAGAATAAACAAATCTGTCTTGGAAGAAGTACAGACAGAATGCTCCTTAGAGATGGGTCTCTCTCCTTAGAAGCGAGGAAGGCGAAACTTTGTCTTACGTACTTTTGACATGTGATCAGCAGGGACCAGTTCCTGGAGAAGGACATCATGTTTGGTAAAGTAGGGGGTCAGCGAAAAAGATGACCTTTAATGAAATGGACTGACACAGTGGCTGCAACAATGGGCTCAAACATAGCAACAACTGTGAGGATGGCACATGACCAGGAAGTGTTTCAATCTGTTGTACACTGGGTCACTATAAGTCATAACCGACTTGACGGCACCTAACAACAACAATCTTTATGGGAGTAGACCACCAGGTCTTTTTTCCCACGGAGCAGCTGGTGGGTTCAAACTGCTGACCTTTTGGTTACCAGTAGAGCACTTAAACATTGCACCACCAGGGCTTCATTTAATCCTTACCCTACCCTATAAGGCAGGTGGCGTTATCCTCTATTTTTAGATGAAGATACTGAAGGCCTGAGTGGTCTAGACACTTGCCTGAGATCACACAGCCAAGGCTTGAATTCAGGTCTTCTCACTCCAAGTCCTGGGCCCTTTCCAATACACAGTCAAAGCCCTGACAGACAATCACACCTAGGTAGATCTCTGTACCTGATTATACCTGGAAGGATATTTTAGCCCTTAGCGCTCTATGGAGACTTTCGAGCACCTGTAGCGGAAACTTCTTGGGATGCTGGACTTACAGTCTGTTGGGACTGTGGGCTCATCTAGGTGACTGACTGACTGACTGACTGACTTCCAAGCCCTCTTCTGATCAAACTCACAAACTTGTTCTCACCAGGGGCCTCTGCATTGGCTCCTCCCACTGCCCCAAATGCTCTTTATCCAGATGTCACTTGGCTCTGCTGTTTCTCCACATGCAGGTCTCTGCTCACCTGACTGCCCCATGACGCTCCCCTCCAGCACTCTCTGTCCACACCCACCTCTTTCCTGCTGACAGCTGCCTCTGCCTGACCCACCATGACTGAATCACTAAACCCCAAACCCCAGTCCCTAGCAAAGGGTCACACACTTATGAGGTACTCAGGAAGTATTTACTGAATAAATGAATGAGTTCTGAAAAAGGAAAACTTGCAAGGAAGAAATGAATGACAAGAACGGAAGCACAGCAAAATACCATCTCTTCTCCAATATGGCCCAACTCAATCCAAGAAGAAAATCCCCTAGATCTGTAGAGCATGTCCAGTTTTCCAGAGCGCTCTTAGATTCCTACTTCATTTGACATTCACAACAGTCAATTTACTGAGATAGGCAGGGAAAATATCTATGTATGGGAATTTTCCTACAGGTACATTCATAATAATCGTATCGCTGTTTTATTAGAAGCTGAAGCTCTGGAAAGTTCAGAAACTTGCCCAAGGTCACAGTCCTAGGCGCCTGGTGCAACAGAACGCTGGACTATTAACACTGGTCCTGTCCACAGAGCAGGACAGTTCATAAACTCACAACTTCTAAAGGGCAACTCGGCCCTCGCTGAGAGATGGACATGCTCTCCAATCCTTGTTTGCCCAAGTACAGCAGAAAGGTAGGCAAGAGCCACACAACCCAACATCAAATGAAAACGAAATGGCTATCGGGTAAACCAAAAATACAGCGGGCAGGCACCTTGGGAAAGCATGTTCATCATTTTAAGGACATGGTGCATGAAAACCAAAAATAATAATAACAGTGATAATGGTAATAGCTAACACTAAGAGCTCAGGCTGCTAACCAAAAGGTCAGCAGTTCGAATCTACCAGCAGCTCCTTGGAAAATCTATGGCACGGTTCTACCCTGTCCTATTGAGTCGCTATGCGTTGGAATAGACTTGATGGCACACATTATTAGGTAGCAGAAACTGTTCTTAGCACTTACTAGCTCATTAAATCCCCACAAAAAACCTATCAGGTAGGTACCATTGTTTTCTCCATTTTACATACGAGGAAACTGCTCCCGTTTCAAAAATCTCCTCTCCATTTTTAAGGATGAAGACAGGCACCAGGACCTGTGAGCCTTCATTTCCTCGACGAGTGTACACATACATACACACGCGCAAACCAGCATGCTGTAATTTTTATGTAATTTTAAAAATAAAATTTTGTCTTTACAAAAGTTATAAATGCTCACTATAGAAGATTTAGAAATATGAAAATTACAAAGTAAATAAAAGTTACTCATAATCCTGTCACACACAGGTATCAGATATTTTACATATATGTATAGATTTTCACTAAATAAATCATGTACATTTTCCAGGTCATTAAATATTCCCCTACGACATGATTTTTAATGAGTATATACAAAAACTTCAAGAAACACAGTATACGGAATATCCAAAATTTTCTCAACCAAAATGTTTTAATTTTGCCATCATAATAAGCAATACAGACAAACCTTCAGGCATTTTCTTGGAATAAATTTCAAGAGGTAAAAATGTTGAACTAACAAAAGAATCAATTGCCGGCCAGCATGGTCTGTGAATATCCCCAGCACGTTCTCTAAAAAGCACACAGAGGCCAGTGAGTCCCACCAACCAGAGGAGACAAGGCAGCAGGGCTGGGGGCCGGGTGCCCCAGGAAGACCTCAGCAGGCATGTGAGAACACACACGGTCTCCCTACCTGGGGGCCTCAAGGACAGGCTTGCCAGCCCCGGCCAAACAGTCAGATGTGAGGAACAGGCTGGCCAACTCCCAGCAAACCTCCTTCAGAAGGATGGGCTAAGGAAGGCCTCCAGAGCCACTGCCTGGCTGGTGTAGGAGAGGTTTGGAAAAAATAATTTAGACTCCACATACATTCCTGCTTTGGTCTTTTGTCTCTCCATTACTCCACCCTCAAGGAGCCCTGGTGGTGCAATGGTTAAGTGCACAGCTGCTAAGTGAAAGGCTGGCGGTTTGAACCCACCCAGAGACTCCAAGGGAGAAAGACCTAGCAATCTGCTTCCGGAAAGATTACAGCCAAGAAAACTATATGGGGCAGTTCTACTGTGTCACATGGGGTCGCGATGAGTCAGAACTGACTACACGGCAGCACATAATGACAACTATCCCATCCTCAC